GTGTGTCTGTTTACAAAACTTCTACACCCTTGAAGATAGAAAGCTGAAATTTTGTACGTACATAGATTTTTACTAGAAACTTATTTTCGTGGAACAAAATTTTTACCTATCTCCCCCCCTTTAGAAGTTATACCCCCACAAAACCCTAAAAATGCCATTCTTTAACTATTTAGTGCAATGAAACCATAAGGATTTTTCAAATTTTGCAAACGCAGAAAGGCAGTGGCTTACTTCCCCTAGCGGGGTATACTAAAGGTTAACTTTAGAAAAACAAAATGGCCGCTCAAATTTACCGTTATCTAAAGTCCGTTTTTTCCAAATTTTTGATGTCGTTTATTTTCTAGACCCCAGCCTGTAGAAGCTTGAAATTTTATGGGCTTTTAGACATTAACAAATAGTTCATTTCGTTAGAAGAAAATTTTTTTCCATCTCCTTCCCCTCTCAAGTTATGGCCTCTTGAAATTTGTAAAATTTGAATTTTTGACACCTTATATTTCCGAAACCGCAAGCTTTTTCAAATTTCTATAAACATAAAAAGCTAACGGTAAATTCCATGAAATTAAAAAATATAATTATTTTTCTTAACTCACATAATTAAACCTTAAAATCGAGCATTATGTTAACCCCTTTTTATATTAATTTTTGCTTTATTTCAAACACTGCATATATGCGTCATCCTAAATATATGCAATTCTAGAAATAGTTTTGTATATGAATGAAAATAATTTTTATAGTTTGATAGGTATACATAGACTGTATTTAAAAGCAGAATTTTCACTTGCTGAAGGGAAAAGTGCTACAATACAAACCATTGGTTTGACCCAACTTTATTTATTTTCTTAATATTGAATTTTCTCTTTGTATTATTTTTATAAATTTTCATCAATTGTTTCTGCACTCCCTGTTTAAAGTAGTTAACAGTAATTTATCTACAAAAAGGAAAATAAAAAAAACTTTTTTTTGATTTTTTTTTTCTATATCCTTTTTTACTTACTTTATTTTTTCTCTTTGTTCCTTTATTTTTTCCAGTTAATGTTCGAATAAATGTATTTTATTATTGATTGTAGTAAAGAATATACGCAAACATACTCCTACCCATATTAGAAACAACAAATGAACGATTGTTTTCTTTCAATATTATATGGCAATGTTGTCATGACACTATGTCACCGTTTCTTAATGACAAATGACTTGTCAAAAAAGTAAAAATCTTTTGTTGGACAAAAATAAAAACAATAAGGGATGAAAGTTTTTAGAATTTTGTTTTTAACTTTTGTTGTTGTCAACCAAATCAAACTAAATCATCCAAAAAGAGAAAATAAAGAAAAATTTTGAAGGGAAAAATAATAGTTATATGTAAAAGTTTGGTCAAATATATTGAAGTTTTGACATTCTCTATAGAACGTAAGAATTTTTTTTTTAAATTACTTTATTTAGTTTTTTCATCATTTCCTCTGCACTTTTATATATTTCAATTTTCAATAATTTTTTATTCTTTTAATTGTTTAGTTGTTATATAACTAGTTATATTTATGTACAATATATCTAATATCTATATATTGTATGTGTATAAGATTTAAAAGAGAAAGTATTTCAAAATTACACGTAACAAGGTTTCCGTTAATCGACAAAAGTTCCCCTCTTCTAATGGTTCAAAACTCTGATAAAAGAGTTAAGAAAAAATTTGTTATTCAATTTTACTATATTTTGCACTTTTAGCTTAGTGTGGGCTGTGCCAATATCACCTAAATTGTCCCATGTGTTTTGAGGCGTGTTCTTTCAGATTCTGTTATCGAAATTCTCTTATCAGTTTTAGTTTCCAAGATACTTATTGAACTTGCCCCATAAAAACAAAAAATTTTTTGTATTATATTGGGTTGTTGTTGGCTCCATAGGTATACGTTGAGTAATAAATTTCTATGAATATGTAAAAAATTAAAAAAAAATAATGTTTTTGTCTCTCCCTCACTAGAACCAGCCCGAGTTCATCACAAATGTTTCCTTATATGTTCTAAATGCATCTTAATTTAAAGTGATTGTCGTAATATACAATGGGAAATTAATTCAGGTTATGTTATAGAATATTGATCAAAAAAGAAGTGAATTAGGGATCGGATTGAAATACGACATGTATGTTGAAGAATTTAGGAAAATATTTTTTATAAGTTATCACCAAATTATTGATTTAAAATTAAATCAAGCGCAATTTTAAATTAATCAATAAATTCCACAAATTACATTGGAAATATTTACAGTTTACAAAATTTTGCGGAAGATAAAATTGACAATTCATTTATATAAAAAAAGATTAAATAAATGGTTTATGGCTCAAAGTTGCTCATAAATTGAACAGGAATTTCTAATAATTGCCATCAATAAATCACAATATCGGAAAGTGTTCTAATCCTGTTTGATTGTAATGACGCGTTAAGTTTCACTTTGCAGATACTTTCCTACACAATATGGTCTTGAAAAGTTTTTTTCGACAATTTATATTAGATTCTACATATGTTTTACAGGAACAATATTAAAAAAGTTTAAATAAATATCCAGGATAACTTTAATAGTTTACTATCATTATTGTCATTTTTATTATACAATAATAGTGTGAAAAAGTTTTGAATCTCTTTGAACAACATTGTATATCTGTTAAATAATATTTAGGGATATGTAGAATTTATATGGAAAAATCATTAGTTTTAATGCATTTAGCAATTTTTCTAGAACTATTATAAAAGTTTTTGGAATTTTTTTTAAGTTTGCAGCCAACCCCTCTATTGTTTTATACACTACCTTGATATAAGTTGATTTTACTCTTTAAATTTAAGAAAAAAATAAAAACTCAATTTCCAACATAAGGTTGATTTAAATGAAATTTAAAAATAACATTTGCAAATTTTTACCTCGGAGAAAATGCCCGAGTTAATTTTTCAGGAAAAGAAGGACTTTCTACTTTTACGCTTTTATAGGAGTTTTGCAAAATCTCACAGAAAAAAATAAGCTGCAATAATTGAAAATCCCGCCATAGTTTGAGGTATACCTAAATTCATTAAATAAAATTAACAACGTTGCAAATGTATTTAATTTTTAATTTAATTAAGAAATTTGCGTATGAATAAAATCAATATATTTTAAGACAAAATTAACCATTATAAGGAGCTACTAAATCTTATAGAATGACTCTACCGGATATTTTTCTAAAAGCCTATATTAACATCACGTAAACAAAATGTCTCTCTAATAATGCTTGAGCCAATATATCTTTCTGATTTATTAAATTTTCGTTTTTTAATTAAAATATTAATATTATTCTATTTTGATTATGAAAAATAAATAAAAATAACACCTGATAACGTCAGTACATGAGCGACCGCAAGGTATTGTCTAATTTAACGAAAAAGTTTGAAACATTAAAATTTCTTCTTTCAAATTTTAAGGACGTTAATATTCTTTTATATTACATACCTAGAAAAATGTAAATTTCGCAGGTTCCCATTATGCCATCCGATGTATTTAAAAAAATCTAAAAATTAGCTGAGTTAATTTTAAAATATTTTATCAATTAGTTTTTTAGACAAGGTAAAAAATGTAAAGTCGGATCACATACTTAGTTTTCTGAACCCTTATATTTCCAAAAAAAAAAAATGTAGTTCATTGTTTTAACACCATGAGTTTAAGTGTTGAATTTCAAGGAAATTGGTTGATTATTTCTATTTGTAAGCGCAAATATGTTAATTTGGCTTGTTATAAAAGTTTAGGTGCTGATACCTGGTTTCTTCCAAAAGTTAAGTATTATTCCTAGAATTGTTACAGGAAGATTATGTATAAAATTTCAATTAACCTCTTGAATAAACATTATAAACAATGATTAAACATGTAAATTCGATCCATAAAAAAGTACACATATACCGACATCTTTCTAAAAATAGTTTATTAACGCTTCCTTAACGTTTCCAACAATAACTTGACATGTGAAATTTGGTGTCATCACATAACCTCTCTTATTGTATAAAATGTGATCACCAAAAATCATAATTAGGGATAAGAGAATTTTAAATGTTTTTATGTAAATACTATAGGTAATTTAAAATTTTAAATTAATTTAAATATTATCGCAAAAAAAAAGGACTCCTCATTATTTCATTGAAATTATCATAATCTAACCTAAATTACTTTATTATATGCTTCATTTAAATTGAATTATACAAATTATTAATAATTAACAAAATTGAAATTAAATATTGCATAGATAAATACAGGATTTAATATTATTAACTATACATATTTGCTAACAATTAAATTAATTAATTTTTTCGGAATCAATTATTATTTTAATTTGAAAAAAAAATATTGTGAACTTCATTTTATGAAGCAACTAGCTATTATAGCAAAAAAAACTAACTGAACTAAATTAAGCGTGAAAAATTACAAAAAAAATCATATTAGACCGTAAACGGACGCTTAAATTTATTTTAAGGCTTTAAGAATTAAATGTGTAATTAGCTAAATATCAAACCAAATATAATATGAAGTTAAATATTGTACTAAATCTAATGACAAAATATGCTCATGAATTGCTTTCGTTTTATAATATCAAATAATGTAAGTTAACAGGTTCAAAATAAAGGAAGCTCTTTAATTGCACCGTTTTCACTTTTGCACTTGCGTTAAAAATAAATAAATTATATAGATGTATGTGAATTTGGTTTAAAACATAATAAACCAACCTTCATAGTACATTTAAATTTCTATTTTATTGTTGTTTTTTAATAAAAATAATTTCATTTATTAAATTCAATATTATTATTGATTTATTTCGGTGGATATGGTAACCAAACTTTAGAAATGTTTCCATAGTTTTTTCTTAATAAATTAATGAATTGAATAAGCATTTCTCAAATATTCACAATTGTAGCATAACAATACAAAACATTACATCCAAAAATATTGTAATTAATTAGTAAAATGAAATTGTACCAAATTGTTTAAATACACACAATATGGACCCACTTCAAATATATTTAGTAACACAAATATTCAATTGTGCGATTGATCAATTAAAAATAACTAATAAAGGACGTTATTCACCATGTGAAATGGAAGTTAAAGACCCATGTGAAATAAGATTTAAAAGTAAAATACATGAATCCGTTTATCAACAGTTAGATCCACTACGTCCCTCAGAGGAAGCAATGAATGAACAAGAAGTTGAAGAAGAAACGTATGTAAATATTACACAATCATATAATTTCTAATTTTAATTATTAATATTTAAGCGCTACACATGGGTATAACACACCCGAGCAAAAATTTTTTTCAGTGGGTTTTTTTTACTGGCAAAATACTTAATTTTCTTTGTTAGCCGAACTATACTATTAGTTATTTAGTTTACTTGCACAAAGCAATTATAGTAATACGAAAAACTAGATAGGTAATTATGAAATTTTTTTTTGTCTACGAGTGACATATACACGGTATGCCTTGTCGGAATTTTGCAAAATTAGATTGGTATAATATTTGAGTGAAAAATGACGAATGGCAATATAATTTTTAAATGATCAAATTTTAGTGTGAAAAAATTTTGAAAAATTTGAACGTAACGCATATCTTTGAAGTAAACGAAAATTACATCAAAATATTAGATACCAAAAATACACTGAATTAAAAATGGTCATTTGAATATAAACTCTTAGAGTGATATTTAGAATAGAATTCTGTAATTCTAATGTGTTATTTTAATATTTTTGTAGTGATTTTCATATAGAACCAGTTTTTAACTAACACTGTTAAACACAATCAATGTAATAACGACTAATTTCCCGTTGTGGCTCGATACCATCTTCGACTTTCAAATCATCTTTTGGTTCTTGAATTTTATTCGACTTTGTTAGACTTACTTTCAGTCCAATTAATTTAAATTTAACATTCTAAAGTTTCTAACCTGAATTCTACATCTAATATGCTGAGAAAATCAAAAGAGAATTACTTTGTTAAAAATTCAGGAAGTGCGACTAGAACGCTACTGAATTCTAGATAACAATTCGATTCTTGATATAAAATTTATTATTAATGACATATGTATCAAGTATAAAATTTCTATTTCGAATTTGGAACCACTATTTGAACCATAATTAAACTACGACAGTCTAGTCACCTACCTAGTTAAAACTCTGTGACGCTGTGATACTTGGGCATGATATCATCAACTAGCCCTATGCTCCCCTAGGAGTGAACAAGAAAAAAATTCAATCATTATAGCTCATAATTATATATGTAACTGACTTTAATAATTAATTGAAAACTTGCACTATCCAGAATGTACATTGGCAAGCAAATAAACTAAATAATAAAAGTACGTACATGTAACAAAGAAAATAAAATATTTTGGCAATAAAGAAAACCCAATTGAAAAAATTTTTGCTTGAATATGTTATACCCTTACATTGGGTTCAAATGTTAATAAGATAATTAAATTTTATTACAATTTAATTGTAGCAATTCATTAATTACATTTTATATTGAAATAATGGAAGAAATACGAGATAAAGGAACATTTAATCGTTTATTACAAGTAATTCAAGATTCAATTGATGAGGCAGATGATGAAGATAAAGTAATTATTAATCATAATAAAACACATAAACATTATAATGAGGTTAGATACAAATGGAAACATCATGATTCAAATGCAGCAAAAGAAATTTATCATCGTGAAGATATTCTTAGGCAATTGAGAGCAGAATTGACGGTAAGTTATTCTTTTAGTAAATTATATTGAATTTTGTATTCAATATAGTTTTTTTGTTAAATGATGTTATATTTTCATTCACAGAATATAAAAATAGTGAATGAAATTGAAGTAAATTTAGTTAAAAATTGGGAAGCAACACGTTTTGATCAAGGTACATTATATGCTAAAAATGTTGAAAGGGATCTACTGAATGAATTACGTTATTATGATTGGAAAATTCGTCAAGAAGAAAATGCAATTTCAAATGTTGAAAGTAATTATTTGAATTCTTAATTATTATTTCAATCAAAATTTTAAATCCCATTTTTTCTTTCTTTTTAGAATATTATGAAGAAAGAATAGAAGATTTACGTCAACGATTAAAATTTTGGACTAAGAAATATGAAGAAGAAATTGAAAAGCATAACAATAAAATAAAAGAATTACTCGATAATATCAATAGAATAAAAAGTGATCATGAAGAGCATTTAGAAATTCATAAACAACAAAAAGAATTTATTGAAGAATACACAGCACAAAAACGTCTAGAAGAGGATGCTTTACGGGAAGAAGAAAAACGTGTTGAATCAACTATCGTTATTCAGTCATGGTGGCGTGGTACAATGGTTAGACAACATTTAGGTCCTTATAAACAGAAAAAAAAGAAAGGCAAAAAGGGTAAAAAAGGCAAATAAACGAAAATAAATTTCAAAAACATGAAATCGTATAACAGCATATTATAACATAGCGAACTTTCAATTACTTTAATAAAATTAATGAAATTGGTTTAAATAATAATAATATAACTGTAATAATGCCAGTTAGAAAATTTTGAACAAGATTTTTGCAAAAGTTTTTAAATTTTTTATTTGACTAATGAATAAATAGTTCCTTAGTTAAGTCGTTGAATATATTGTAAGACCCCTAAAAGTATGCATTTTTTAAAAATTGCAAATACTTTCTTTTTCACCCATTATTATGGAATTACATTATAATTTAAATATTGTCATAATCTATAACCAGGTTCAATACACACGTGTCGAGATTGGTAATTTTCAAATTTTCTATAACACGCATGAGAAGTTTTTAACTATTTGTATGTTTGTTACTTAATTTATTAAGAAATTTTTTTTGTATTGAAACAAATTTTCTTTTTATCGAAAATGTTCTCAACGTAATTTAAAAATTATTTTTCTTTTATTAATGGGTTTTTTTAAGTTTCTCTGAAAAAATTCATCATTCAATCATACCGTTTCACTGTATTATACATCTCTATGAGTATAATGATTTAAGTAACTAAAATGGTTAATTTTATACCTGAATGTAGTTTAAGTAAAATAAAATTTTCATTGCTACTGGTTGAAGTGGAATCGGCTTACAATGGTTTCCTGATGTACTAAAACAAATCACGCGAACAGTTTTTGAAAACAGAACGAGATTTTCAACGATTTGAAGAGATAGTGGACCCTGAATGGGTATATAAACTTATGTTTTTCAGAGATTTATGTGTCCACCTCAACGAACTCAATTTTCAGCTTCAGTGTTTAAACAAAGTGTTTGTTATGTTTAATTTGATAAAAGCGTTTGAAGTAGAGTGAACTTTCTTTTCGAAAACAAAAAAATTTTTTGAAGCAGAAAATTTAGAAAAAGCTAATTAAATTAAACAATTCAGCATAGTTTTAGATTGCGATAATAAGTGAATTTCGTGGTAGATTCAACCAATTTAAAACAATTAAAAAAACCACTAAATTTATCATGTATCCAGATACAATAATTTTAGAAAACCTTTTTAAATATATTAAATTAACTTTCATTGCTTAAATATAATAACTCGAACCTTTGAAATCATAATGGAGCCATAATTGGACATACAACTGCCAAGTTTCATGAATCTAACTTTATTGTTTTCCAAATATTCAAAATTAACTTTTGGAATTATATGTCAGCTACCAGACATATTCTGTCTTGTATGTAATTAGATATACTCTTATAAAATTTGATATCTCTATTAGCCTTTGAAATATTTAAAATAACCTCTTGGAGTTGTGTGACAGTTACCAGAATCTGTTGTGCGAACTACAATAGCAGGCGTCATTGGTAGAAGAGGAGCAACTTGTGAAAGAAAGAAGAAAGAAATTAAAGTATGAAATTTCAGCTTTCTATTTTCAAGAGTGTAAAAAGTTTTGTAAACATATCCACGAACGGACGGACAGAGTGAAACTAATAAGCACTTTGTTTCAAAATTGTTTTGGAAAAGTGCTAAAAATTGAAGTAAAGTCGAATAGGTATATAAGTTTTAAATATTACAGAAGAAAGAAGCAATTTTTGTGGAAATAATGTCTAAATTAAAACTCGATTTTATTTCCAATATTCGGAAAAGTCAGTTTTTCAATGGTTTATCGTCAAATTTAAAGTTGTTTAAAATTTTTTAACTGAAGCGCTTGACATATTTTAAAATCCATTTTGAATTTTTTTTTGAAAAATTCTCATGAACGTTCATCATATATTGCCACCTAGGCTCTGTACCACGTTATAATTGTTGATAATTTTAAATCCAGACAGATTCCACTTAATTTTGAATTTACAATAGAATTTATCAATTACGTTCTATTTCATTTATAAAAATGTATTGAATTTTATTCGACTATTAAATGTATTTATTAAGGATCATTTTCTCTTGCTATTAAAATCTTATCACCTCAATATAATTTATTGCATATCCGCAAAAATGTATAAATAACATGTTACATGTTCAAAATAAATTTGATAACGAAACACTGAAAAACCTTTTAAAAATTTGTGTCAAAAAGCCAATAAGTTATACAATTATGATATTTTATATAAAAGGATAGCTATATGTAATATTATGTATGTATGCAAAAAGAATATCCAAATCTACACCGTATGAAAAGATATACATATTATTGCACATCTTATGTAATACATGATATGTGTACAAAAATAAAGTAAATTACCGTTATCAAGTGAACAGTAAAAATTATTCTGTTTCCTTTCTATTATCCCAACATTTATTTTCCTCTATATATAGTTTTGCTACAACAGCAATTTTAGTTAACTCTTTTATACAACTATACTATTATATATATACATACATAATAACAATAATAATGTACGTAGATATTGTATCAGATCATGTTATATGAAATAAGGATAATATCAAAGCTAATCTAATGTATGCTAAATGCACTTCTATAAGGCTTTTCCCATTTCCATAAGGATAATCCATCGTTTCGAGTTATTCTTGTATAACAGAAGTATAGAAAAAAATTTTTACTCGTTTTTTCTATTATGGATACAAACACACAAATTTTCATATTATGTTTCACATACAAGCATTTGCTAAGTCTATATACAATTTAAAATATAAATGTATGCAGTATGTAAAAATATATATGCGGAAGAGCAACAGAAAGAAAAAAAATAAAAAAAAAATTTTGTATTTCTCTAACCAAATAGGCGCAAAGTGTAAACTAATGTAATGTTTAAAGATTAAAAGGACTAGTTTAAAAAAAGCATTTTTTTTTACAATTTGTTTTTTTTTTTATTCACTTTCATTACATACGTTTTTTATGCTTAAATAAATATATATAATTTTTGCCCTAAAAATCCAATACAGATGGTAAAAATCATGCCAAACGAGCAATTTATGAAAAGTAAGAGGGAAAATTTAAGTACATAACCATTATGAGGATTCATAACGCTTTATGTAGATATTATATTACGAGTACATATATAGTTGGTATATAATAATATATATTATTGTGTATATTTTGCATAATATCAACACTTATATTTGTATGTATATAGGCAAATAAATAAGCGCATAGTTTTAAAATATAATAAACTAATGGTATAACGTTCTTACGATTTAACAAAATACAAAAAAAAAAATAAAAAAAAAAGGACGAGAAAACATAAAGAACAAGGAAGCTAAAAAATAGACTAAAGTTAATGAAATTCTACTTTAGGAACGTGATTGTACAAAGTGTGAACTTGCAGAAAACCGAATCTTTTGGAAAATTAAAAAAAAAAATGCAAAGGAGATGAAAAGTGAAATATTTAAAGTAAAACAGAAAGAGTTGAAACAATTTAAAAATGAAAAGCTTCAAAAATAGAAAATGTAAAAAAAAATTTAAAAAAATGTAAAAAACTTTGTAGCACAAAAATATCTTAAAATGTAAAAAGCAAAAACTATTTTAAATGAAGAATTTTTTTTATACATTCTTTTTTAAATATCTTATGCATTTGCATATTATTTTTATATGAAAGTGTATATGTTTGTGCAATGCAAACATTGCATACGTTTATAAGATGGAAATAAGGTTAATAAACTAAAACTATTATAATTTTTTTATATGTATATAAGCTGGCATTTATATGTAATATGAAAGTAGGTTATATTACATTTAAAATCTTTTGAAGAAATAAAGTTCTGCATTAAGAGTTTATTATTATAATATTGTAAGATTTTAAAGAAACTTTTATCTAGTAAATTGAAATATTATGAAAAACGAAAGTATTGACGCTGTTTATTTATAAAATAGAGTATCGTAGTTTTCTTTGAGATTGACAAAAATGAAGAAACGAAAAACTAAAAGATGAAAAATTAAACCATCACATTTTGTTCTTTTTTTGTTTAAAGTATTATTCTACAGATTATAGCTTGCATTCTGGTCAGTTAAACTGTTGCGCTTTTGTTTCGGTATTTCGAACAAGTTTTTGATCTATTATTCACTCTAATTCAAATTCCAAATCACTTAAGCCTTATCTCTCGTCTTAAGTAAATTTTAGTATTGCACCAGGATTCGTAATTGGGTGCATCTAAAAATATTACGAAATCACTCTAAAAAACTTGCAAGTCTCATAATAAGGCTTGTGCGAATCATATATTATATTATGCGTAATATGCTTACATATGTTTACCAACTCCATTGTAAACAATACTGGGAAGTTCTGTATTTATGTACCACATTTTTAAGATCCAGATTTCAGTGGAAAAGCATTTATTCACGGTAGGGAAGCCTAAGTAGAATATTTTTAGAGAGATATGGGTCTGTTTGTGCACACGTATATTTCAAGTTTGGCTGTGATGAAAATTTATTGTATTAAAATTTTATTGACTTTTGGAACATGGCAGGCCTCAAGGAGTGGATATTTTCATGGGCTGATTTTACACTTTTAAGAAATAATTGAAGCGCTTAATATTTGATTTTAGGATGTTAAATCATTTAACTTATAACTTTTTTTGAGTATTCTTATATTTTTTATAATATTTAAGAAACTAATTGCTGAAAATTTTTAAAATTCAATATTAGAGTTCCCTTTGCTACCAGAAGTAGCTGACGCAGGATGACATAAAACGAACCACTACTAAAAGCGAAAATAAACTATTTAAAGAGAGGAAAAAGTGTTTAAAATACATTTTTATAATGCTATATGCTTATGGTTAGAATGGTGGCTGCATCAAATTTTTTTTTTCGTTCTCTCAACAAAATTTATTTTTTCCAGAAATTTGCTGATGTTTATATCAAATATTCAATTTAGTGATACAAAGAATATTAAAGGTTTAAAGTGAAAAAGAAATATTTTTATTTTTCAACCCAACTGGATCAACAAAGCTAGTTGGAAGCAGAGAGAATTGAATTATAAATATGTAAGACGAATGAAGATATTT